ATCCCCACCCCCCAGTTCCCCCCATTCCCCGCCCAGTCCCCTGTTTAAGGCTAAGGAACTGAAGTCTTAAAAGAGGAGAAGGGATTTGAAGTGGAACAACACAGCTGGGTTGGGGTACACACAGCCAGGATGAAAATTCAGGCCTTAGGACACCCAGTCATGATGTTTCTACTACTTATTTCCTCTCTGAGTCTATAAACCTAGGTCATCAGGGCTAAAAATGAGTAGAAAAGAACTGGCAAAAGACAAGGACTTCGTCACATGCCTCCCTGCATTGACCACACATCTCCACTTGGCTCTTAAACTGTCTGGGGGCACTGTGGACGTTCTCCTTCAGAGCACTCCAGATCACAAAGATGGAACTCACCTAAATATTTGCAGTGAGAGTTGGACATTTTGTTTAGATAACCATGACTTTAGTTGGCTTGTTCTTGTTTTGTAACTTATGGCACCCTTACGTAATACGTGATGTGTCTTCCTTAAGGAGAGTGAGTAGGGAAGAGAAGGATACATGGAATATTTGGAGCTGATGGCACAGCAGCGGAGAACTAGGGAATGTGCCTGGCTCAGCCCTGGAGCCCGAGGGGAATGACGGGAAGCATATTTTATGGTATCCATGTTGACCCCTGGTGTGCTTCCTGCAGGAGCCGGTGTATAATGGGCTCCAATTCAGTGGATTGAATGAGGCAGTGGGAACCCAGGTGAAGGAAGATATTATTAAAAGGTATTATAAAAAAGGTATATATATATTATTATTAAAATGCATTATATAAAAGATATACATATTATTTAAAGGTATTAGATAAAGGTATAAAAGGAAGGTATATTCAAAGCAGGTAGGAATTTGTGGCATGATAACTTTATTCACAGCAAATCCACCACCCATGGTTGAAGAAGGAGAGCAGCCTCCAGCCCATGGGGAGAGAGGGGTCTGGGAATAGGCAGGCAGGAGTCTGGTGCCTCAGACTAAGCAGTCTGAGGTTTTAAAAGGGGACCCAGTTCCAGCAAGATTGTTGGGAGGTGAGATGATGGAGTGAGACAGCACCAGTGAGGACTGGGGAGCATGCTTAGCGGCATAGGAGGCACCAAAGATGCAGTGGAGAGTATGATGGAATGAAGACGTCTGTTTTAAAGAATACTAAGTTTAAAATTTTTTTTGAAAGTTTAATAATTTGTGCTTTTGAGTCAAGAAACAACCCACAAATGTCCACCTGTCTAAAACATAAGAATGTTATATCAGAATTCCCCAGTCAAGATGTCATGGGCCAAGTCTCTGTGTGTCCCTCCAGTTTCAGGTCCCTGGTGCCCCAACCGTGGACCCCACAACAGTTTGCAGATCCTGCTGCTTGCTGCCCTCCAGTCTCCTTGAAATGCCTTGAGATGCCCTTCCCTTCCTCACATTCTGATGGTCTCATGGACCATCTTGTTAGTCCTTCCACTCCATACCCAGAGAGTGGATCCCTCTCACTTTTAGCCAACCACTGGATATCTCAGTTAATGTGTTTATGACCAGGGTTCATATTTGCTGTTACATACCAGGTTTGCTGTACCAGTTGTAAAATTATTCAATTACTTCTGCACAACTTGATTTAAAAAATTGCTATCCCAAGACTCTCAATGTCTGTTTCCCCTGGGCTCCTACTCAATCTGGCCCCTCTTCTTGGACTTCCCAGATCACCCCAGGGTCTGGGGAGATTGATGTTGTGAGATCTTCTCTTGTTCCCACCTACTCTTGAGAAATCCAAATGTGGGTCAGAACCCAGGCTCAAGTCTGCTGGTTTATGAATCCCTTGGCTCCTCTGAGACTTTTCTCATCTGTAAAATGGAGATGGAAGAGATGAACATCCACTTGCAGGGCATCCAATAAGATTGCTGGGTTGATGGTCATATACATTCAGATGTCAAGAGCTAGCCTGTGGTCATTTTGAATAAGACAGAGTGAAGCAAGGACACAGAAAATTCCGGATGAAGGGAACCAGGCCTGGTCAGCACCAGCCCAGGCTTTTGGGCTGACAGATGCTGCTGTCGCTGTCATTGCCAATCCTGTGCTACCCAGCGGCCGAAGGCAGGGTCAGCGAGGTCAGACTTCACTTCCCAAAGCCTAAGTGGTGGCTTAATTGGCACCGGGCTTCTTATCTGACTTTAGTCATCTAAACTCGCTGGGAATCAGAGAAAATATGGTCTTCACTGCCTTTGTTTTTGTCCAGAAAGGTTGAATGGGTGGGTGAGTTTGAAGGCTGTAAAGCCTTCTGAGAATCGGAGATTCTTGGAAGTTTTTAAGAGTCCAGGCACTATTCCCTGGAAAATGTGAGGTTCCTGGGGTTTATTAGAAGCTTAAACTTTTGGTCAAAGTTAAACATCTAGAAAAATGTTTCTGGGAAGTGTCATCAACACCTTCTTAATTGGCTGCCTTGGCATCATCTCAAGGCTGTGGTTTCTACTTCAGATGCTGGAGCAGGACCAAGCCCAGCTCAGGGTCTCCTTCTGGGATGGAGGATAAGTAAGAACCTCCAGCCTGTTTCCGAATTAGGGACTTAAAAGGAGCCTGGCTGTGGGAATTGCATGAATCATATTTACATTAGTGTTGGAAAGTGCATTTCTCTCCAGGAGATTATATTCCTTCAAGGACTTCCCCCGTGCCCCCATAGTGCAGGTGAGAGGTGAGGAAAGAAAACTCAGCTCTTCCTGGATGGATACCTTTGCTCTGGGCTCCAGGGGCCAAGGACCAGGACCAAGGAAGTCCCCTGTGAGTTTACATCCAGATGGGCAAGCTCATGGACCACAGGTATAAAGAATAGCCAAGGGACTGACCCTCTTCCCCACACCTCCTCTTAGAAAGCTGTCCCCCAGGTTGTTCCCTCCCAGCCTGCTTGGAAGAATTGGAACCTAAGTTCCTGTAAGCACAGTGGAGGGACCTCGCTCTAAAATTCTATCTGGCATTCCTTCCACTTTCCTGATATTTCATCCCTTCTACTCTTCAAATGAAATAGTAGCTCACTCCAGTATTCTTGCCTGGACAATTCCATGGACAGAGGAGCCTGTTGGGCTACAGTCCGTGGGGTCACAAAGAGTCGGCCCCGACTGAGTGACTAACACTTTAATGCCTCAAATGAGGCCATTTGAAGTTTTTGCCAGAGTGATGGGTATTGAACAGCAGATGAGAGAAAATGGGACCCTCTCCTGACTTTTCCTTTTGAAAGTCCTTAAAAGGAACAATAGTGACAACAAAAATTCAGAGCATGAATAACAGATTTGGAAGATCCCATGAGAAGGAGGAAATCTCCTTCTGAATGTTCTTCAGATGCGGGGTGGAGGTGTCAACTAAGCGGGGAAATCACAATTCCTTGGGCATTTGCAGAACTCTGGGAAAGAGGAACCTGCATTTTCTTCTCAGGCACAGGCTGGGCAGGTGGTAAAAAGCCAGAGAAAGAAATGGCCCAGAGATGTGTGTGTGTGTGGGAAGGCTTTACATAACCAGGGAGCATGTCCTGGGCCCTGGTGAATTGTCCTCTGTGTCTGAGAGTGACATGCAATTAATAGGGCCCGTGGACACACTCACTAAGTTTCTTGCAGCTGAGTGTGACTCAAGAAGGAAACAAACATAGTTAAAAGGATGGGGGTCTGGAGGATCAGCAGTTTGAATAAGAAAGGACTCAACAGTGCCCTGCGTGGACTGGTGACTAAGCACTGGAGTAAGTGAGGACATTTTTGAACTGAGATTATATTTCTATTCCTGCTCCCCCAAGAGAATGCAAGTTTATAATATAAATCAAATTACCTAGGCAGGTTGACTGATATTCTTATACTCTATTAAGAGGAGAACTCCACTCTTGGAAAAAAATTAATAATACATGGATCCACTGAAAAAAACACTGAAAAGATATACATCCAATGTTCACTGAGGTTACCTCTGGGTGTTGGAATTACTAGTGCTCTCCTCTCTCCAGTCTCTCAAATCCTTTCCTTCCTCCTTTCCTTCCTTACTTCCTTCTCTCTTTCTTTTTCTATGTGTCTACTTTTGTAATTTTTTCACAATGAACTATTTTCTAATCTTCTACAATAAACGTGTTTTGTTAAGAAAAAGCAACACAATAGAATAAGAAAGACCAAAAAATAGTCAGCATCCAGGGTTTATTCCATTTCATTTGGAGGATGAAAGAGTTCCCACTGGCATGTGTTTGATTTTCCTGCTAGACCTGGGACAAGCTGAGGATCTCCTGTGTGCTCTGGACTATCCTTCTGCCTTTCTCATCTTCCATACATACCTGGGATCCAGCTTTTCTAGAAAACCTCCAAGAAACTTCTTTGCATAGGCCTACTGTTTGTGTCTGCTAAACTAGTTTTTGTTGTTCACAGTTTGGGAGTTTGCAGGTATGTTTAAGGCACTTGCCTCCTTTATACAAGCAGGATGCTGACTCCCTTACTTGTCTATACTTGGGAGGCTAAAACAACTTACACATTTGTATCTGAGGGTAAAATCTAAATTATACCAGGGGAATTTATCAAGAGGAGGGGGTTGTGTTAAATTCTCATCTCTCTGGAATGTAGAGAAATGGCTAAATTAGTCATGTTCAGTCTCAGGCAGAGAAACTACCCCCCTCACTCAGTTTGATATAAACTTCTGATAAGAAATTTGAATAACCATCCAAGTGAATTACCTGCTTTGCATGTTTCTAATCATTGTCTGGAATCCCCATCGTACCCAGCACGCCTCTGAGGGGTGGCTTGGCTCCTGCATCACTTTATGAAAACTCCGAAAACAAAAATTCGATTAAATCTTAGCCTGGCTCAGCAAGTAAATTTATTGCTCCCCACCAATCATATTCATTCTGGTTTCAAAGTGCTAGGCATAAAGAACTCTGCACTTTTCATACTATCAATTATTATCCACCTCAGCCCCTACATATGGAATAATGAGGAAAGGACTCAGGATGAGTCCTGATGGCCTTCAACAAACAGAAGTTGCAAGAAGGAGATTTCTAACAGACTGCCTGATACTGTGATAAGTCAAAGATCTGACTCCTTTCCCCCACCCTCCCCAAGACATCTGTGTCCTATCACTCCTACCTCCTACATGATTCTGGAATGAAGACAACTTTCCTCAATCTTTACAGTCACTTCCCCAGGTCAGACAGAGACACTGCCATCTTAGTGTCCCACCTGGTCTTCAATAGGTGCCATCCTTCTAACGTACAGATGTGATCCTGTCCTGGCCCTTATGAAGCTATGCAGTAGATCCCCATTGCTCCTAAACCTCCCATGGCTCTTAGGGTAAACCCTCAACTCTTTCTCGTGGCTTTCAAGTTTTTTCTTAGAGATTACACACCAGTAGCCTGTGGGATGATAGGTTTTGCTTGGCTTGCACAGTGCTTTTTTTTTTTTTTTTAAATTTCCAGTAGAGCCAGTGTCGATAATTTGAAAGCTTTGTCTACAAAGCTTTGTCATACAAACGTATGGCTTCTCTGGAAAAAAATCAGGGTACCTGGTAATGCTGGGCACGGGTCCCCACATGGAAGGGGCCTCCCATGTGGATTGGGGCTTTGTTTCCAAGTCCTCCCAGTCTTTGCCATAGCTGCCATGAGCCCTTCCTCCGGCTCATAGAGGTCACATGTCTGATGCTGTGGACAGGTAGGCTCTACATGACTGGGCCCTGATGAGGCTCCCCTTCCCTCTCTCTCTCTTCTTCCCCACCTGCATGCCTGCAGGGAGAATCTGGGAGGCTAACTTCTCTCAGTCTGCCTCTCCCCACCCTACCCCCTCATATGTACAATCTGGGCTCTCTCTCACCTCTCTGCTCTAGTTGAAAACCCACCTTTGGGAATGTCTACTTCCAATTCATTCTTTGGGTCTCTGTTTAAATGTCCTCTTTCTTAGGAATGTCAGCCCCAATCTCCTCTGCCTAGGCCCCATCAGCAAATCATATTTTAATTGTCCCTCCATAGAATCCCCTATGGTGTAAGAACTAAGTTTGACACTCAGTATTATTACCTGCTGCCTTAACATCTGATGAAATCAGAGAGGCCTCAAAGGGCATAAGGGCAAGATCCCCTCCCCACTCTGCTCTTGTGGATGGATAACCTCCCTAGTTAAATAGCCCTCTTTATCCGTGCCCCCCACCCCTCAACCAGGTGCAGTTCCTGCTTATCCTTGAGCGGTTTCATTTTCCTGTCGGCTCACGAACTATTCAAACATGTCAATCACATCCTCCTGCGGGAACCAGGGGCCTCCTCACCCTCTTGATGCTACAAGCCTGCCTCTCACAGACCCTGATGGTTCCACTCGGCTCCTGAGAGCCATCTTTGTATGGTGTGTGGTATCTTCCCTAATCCCCACCCACCCCGCCATGAGGATATGTGGTTGCTAAACTGCTATTCGTCTCAGCTGTCCAGTGCTGCCGGTCACATATTCAGCCATCCCCATAACCTGAGGCTGGGAATCCCTCCTCAACAACAGGGTGAATAGGAGGTGACTAAAACAGCCCATATGTACCGTAACTGCTTGCTTACTTGCCTTTTCCCTACTAGACCACTGACTCCATGAGGGCAGAGACTGGAGGACAGTAATGGGTGTATTGTTTGCCTCCTAATCCTCAGAACCCAGCACAGAGGTTGGCACATTCAATAAACTCTTACTGGTCATCTCAGCAGGGTGGTAAGGATCTTATCAGTAGAAGTTATTCAGCCAGAGCAGCAAAAATAAGCATCTCTCAGAGACTGCAGAGTGACACTTACTGTACTTTTCAGTTCTTAAGATTCTGTCATTTCAGTAGTTTCTCTATTCTTCATGGAATTATGGCAGTCCTTATCTTGCTGAATAGGACAGGATAGAAAAGCAATCATCTTTTACAACAAAACAAGTTCTCTGTTTTCAAGATGCAATCACTAATGTTAAACAGCCTTTGTTTTCAAGAACTAGAGACCCAGTTCAATGAGCAGGACATTGCTATGCAAAATATGAAAAGGCTGCAGAAATGAGTCCATTTGTTCTAAAGTGCACTATCACAGCCTCTGGTGTTTACTGGGGGAAAATAAACCCTACCATCTGCAGATCGTTTAGTAACAAATTTATACCATTTCCATGTGTGAGTAATGCAGTTCTAGAAATGAATCTAATCAGAGTGCTGTTTTAGCAGGGAGGATGTTCTCACTTAAATTCAAAAAACCATTTCCATCATTGCCAGATTTTTAAGAATCAAAATCCAGCTGACTTTCTGCAATATGCCACTTAAACATCTTGGAAATAAATTTATGTGTTAAAATAGTAGCAACACCAATGAGTTTCTGTGAACATTGTAAAAATCACCCTGTAACCTGATGGTAACTTAGAGAGGATATACTTACAATTTAAATTCCAGGAATGTGTTACTGCTTTCTCTTTCATTTATTGAGTTAAAACTCAAACTATTTTAGAGCCATAAAATTTGCAATTTACGCCTGTCAGACCAGTCAGAGAGAGAACGTCCAGTGCTTCATGGTTAAGCTATGCCTACATGTGAAACTAATTTGACTAAGGTCAATTCATAATTTGATCAAATCTTTGGCTTAAGTAAATCTTAATTTGGTTCAAACTCTTATTTCAGGGATGATGAAGGATGTCCAATAGAGAAAAATAATCAGAATAAAAATGCCAACTCTCCACAGGGGACAATATAGCAGAGTGGATCAGAGCTCAGGCCTTAGATTTCACTACTCCAGGTTCTCATCTTGGCTCTGCCACTTATTAACTGACTCAATTTACACTTAACCACTCCCAACCCCATCATCTTAAAATGGCAACATTGAGAATACTTATGCCATGGTGATGTTGTGAGGATTAAAGGTGTAAATGAATACAAATGCTTATCATAGCTATTGGCACTCAAAAAGCATCCTATAAATGTTAACTATTATTGTTATGGTAAATTGGTTTCACAAAATGTCCTAGCAATGAAATCTCTGAAAATTTGATTCTGCAACTGACTACTGGAATCTGGAATTTGCCTCTTGGATTGCCAATAGCAAATTGGATCCCTACCATTTCTCATTATTTAATTAATGAACTGTGCCAATTTCCAGAAGAGAGAAAGCCAAAGAAAAGTAGGGATGGTGCTGTTATAGACAATAACTCATTGTGAAACAGGAAGGGACATTACCTTTCTAGTCATTAATGAATTGAAAACCCAGCCAAGCCATGAAGCCATCTAGGTAAAGCGGATCTTCGGCACACAGAGGTGGCTGCAAATTGACTGCAAATTTCCCTGGATCTAGAAGCATCAGCCCCAACCATCACGTGTTGTCCCTTGGGGCTTGTCATGCCATGAGTGGTCTTGGTCATTTGGAGACCAAGAAACAAAGCCAAGAGACTGAAATAATGGTGGGTATCTAGAGCGGTTCTGAGGCTTCACAGTTGGATAGTTTTCACTATGAAACCTGACACAGAATAATAAGCCTTGGCATAGGCATATTTTTATCTCTCTCTTCAATTTCTGTCTTCCTCTAACCCTGATTTTCTGCAGCACCAAAACACATCAGTTAAGACACTGATTAAGGAAGATAGATAAGATGATCCTTCAGAAAAGGACAATCACTTGGATAAAACCAAATTAGCCCAGTATTCTGACAATTATCTCACCACTATTTATAGGAACACAGGTAAGAAAGTATATTCTTCTTTACTGCCCAAGAGGCAAGTACTTAATGCGAACAGGGACACACAATTCCTTTATTGTAACCTCCACATCTAAGTTGTTTCAGGGTAACATAATCTATATGCACAATTTGGAAATACATAAACATCCTGTGGGCAGGAATCATGGTTACATTTCTCACTGTTGTATGCAAAGAATTTAGCCCAGTACCTAGAACATAGTATATATTCATGAACATTAAATAAATGAATGACTGTATATTAGCTCATTCACTTTTGTGATTTTATCTGAAATCTCCTTTTATCTTTGTCCATTCAATAAATTTCAAGTCACTCTAAAAGTCTCTGTATTGGCATTCATTCTGTGAAATCATTTCTTTCATTTCAGGAAGGAAAAGACCTCTTCGCCTCTGTTTCCATACTACCTAGAACATGCCTTCTTGTAAAGTTTTCTACATGCAAACAACAAAACCCATTCTGGCAGGTTGGAGCAGAAAGTGACCTGTTAGAGGACATTGGGTGGCTCACAGAATTTGGGGGAGGGATGGAAAACCAGGTCTGAATGCTACCTGTGCTGTGCCGCGCTTAGCTGCTCAGTCATGTCTGACTCTTTGCGACCCCGTGGACTGTAGCCCACCAGGTTCCTCTGTCCATGGGATTCTCCAGGCAAGAATACTGGAGTGGGTTACTATGCCCTCCTCCAGGGGATCTTCCCAACCCAGGGATCTAACCCAAGTCTCCCACATTGCAGGCAGATTCTTTACCGCCTGAGCCACCAGGAACGCTACCTACTTAAATTTAATAGCCAGGAAAGAGCTTGGCCATGCCAGCTGCTTGAGAGACACATGGGAGCAGCTGCTGCTCCTTAGTACTGATTAGCCAGTGTAGACCTGAGGATGTAAGCTTGGCTACTACCACCTAGAATCACTAGACACCTCTACCCCTCTCCCAGTCAGAAGATTCTATCCTCCTAAGTACCACTACCACCTCACATTGATCACTTCTGCCTCTGCTTGTACCAGCACATCCAATTAGAAGAACATAGACCACGTACTCAATCTCTAGCCACAAGGGGTTCTATTCATCCAGTCACTGTAGCAGAGGAAGGTGAACTAGAACATATGTGGAGTGAGTCATCCAACTCTATTTGTGCCATACTCCATGACACCACCGTCTCCTTCACTTGGTATGAATTCCCTAAAATTCTGAGAGAAAAAGATCAGGAGGGTCCGTGCAGAAAATCCATCATCTGTCCAATAGGAGTTCCCAAGAGGAAAGAGAGAGAGAGTAGGAGAGATAGCAATAATACAAATTAATTTTCCAACACAAAAGGCAAGAGTTTACGTACTGAAAGGTGAGAATTTAAGAAGACCCCTCCTAGGCACATCTCTGTGAAATTTCAGAACACCAAAAATTAAGACGCTAATAGCTTCAGAGAGAGAAAATGGTCACCTGCAAAGGAGAAAGAAAGAAACTGCCTGGCACAGAAACACTGGGTGCTGGAAGAAAATGGAACAATATCTTTCAAACTGAAGAGAAATGGTCTTTGACTTGAGCTCTCGCCCAGATAAAATGTCATTAAATAATGATGGCAGAATAACCGTCTTTATACAGGACAGGCCTCAGAAAGTTCACTTCCTATGGATTCTTCAGCTGGGAGTTGCTTGAGAAGCTATGCTCCAGTCAAATTAGGAATTAAATCAAGAAAGAGGAAGTTATACGATCCAGGGAGAACCAAAGGGAAGGAAAAACAACAGCTAATTATCAGTCCCAGAAGGCTACATGGGAGTCTACATGGGAGGAGGGAGGTAATTGGAGAGTTCCTAGAAGACGGCTCTGGGGAGAAAAGAACTTCCATAAATTACAGAGTGTGCCGGAGACATTTTAGGAGCATAAGGAAATTATAAAAGCAGAGCATACAAAAATTAAGGCAATTAGAAATTCCAGGAAAAATTTAAAACTGTGAGGAGATGAATGTAATCATCGCATGCTGCTCTCCAGAAAGATAATGCTATAAAGGCTGTTTAATGATTTTCCATTTTTAAAATCAGCAAGACAAAGCCTGAACAGAAATGACTGTAACTATTATGAATATTGTTAGTATTAAACTATAAATTCAAATGAGATTTGTAAGAAGGAAAGAGAGGTGAAAAGAAGGAAGGAGTGACCATGAAATATATGATATCTTATAAATCGAGGAGTCTATAGCATATACCATGAGTAATAGCACCTCAAGTTCCTTTTGGGTCATTTCCCCTCCACAACCAGCCGGCTGAGTGAAACTGTTCATCCACAGGGTAAACACTCTTTAGCCAATGGGTGAGCATGTGGCCCAGTGTAAGCCAATCAGACTTTCTTTTAGGAATTAAATCAAGAAAGAGGAAGTTATACGATCCAGGGAGAACCAAAGGGAAGGAAAAACAGCAGCTAATTATCAGTCCCAGAAGGCTACATGGGAGTCTACATGGGAGGAGGGAGGTAATTGGAAAGTTCCTAGAAGACGGCTCTGGGGAGAAAAGAACTTCCATAAATTACAGAGTATGCCGGAGACATTTTAGGAGCATAAGGAAATTATAAAAGCAGAGCATACAAAAATTAAGGCAATTAGAAATTCCAGGAAAAATTTAAAACTGTGAGGAGATGAATGTAATCATCGCATGCTGCTCTCCAGAAAGATAATGCTATAAAGGCTGTTTAATGATTTTCCATTTTTAAAATCAGCAAGACAAAGCCTGAACAGAAATGACTGTAACTATTATGAATATTGTTAGTATTAAACTATAAATTCAAATGAGATTTGTAAGAAGGAAAGAGAGGTGAAAAGAAGGAAGGAGTGACCATGAAATATATGATATCTTATAAATCGAGGAGTCTATAGCATATACCATGAGTAATAGCACCTCAAGTTCCTTTTGGGTCATTTCCCCTCCACAACCAGCCGGCTGAGTGAAACTGTTCATCCACAGGGTAAACACTCTTTAGCCAATGGGTGAGCATGTGGCCCAGTGTAAGCCAATCAGACTTTCTCTTTCTGGTAAATTAAGAATCCCCACTAATTCACACCAGGCGGTGCCCTAAAGAGATGGTGCATTCATTCCTGCACCTTAGATTCCCAGAACAACTCTTCTTCTTTGCTTTTCTAAAGTCTGACTCTTTAGCAAGAACTGGTTTCCATTGGTAAGGT